CAACATGAAAATGGTGCATTTTCAAACATCTTTTGTTGTTTTCTCTATTTTTCATTGTTTTATTAAACTTTCAAATTGCTACTTAAGTCAGGGACGTTTTGACTAGACAGAATACTAATTCAGTAATGTCATTCTGGCTAGTCGGAATGTCAATTTAAGATATCTTAAATAGAAAAGCTGTGTAATTCAAGATATCTATATTCAATTAGAGATATCTTAAAAGGAATTTTGACTAGTCAAAATTACAATTCAAGATATCTTTAATTTAAATTTGTCTAGTCATTATTTGAATTTAAGATATCTATAATTTAGTTTTCACTAGTCAAAATTAAATTTCTCCTATCCAAAAATACATTTAAGATATCTCGAATTATGGAGTAATTCGAGATATCTTTAATTAGAATTATGACCAGTCAAAACTAAAATTGAGATATCTTGAATTTACTTTATGACTAGTCATAATTTAATTGTAGATATCTGAAATGTGTATTTCAGATAGTCAGTAATTCATTTAAGATATCTTGAATTGAAGTCTCCATACAAGTCAATGGTAAATCTGACGTCATTTCGACTTATCAGAATGTAATTAGAGATATCTCAAATAGTTATTTTGTCTAGTCAAAATATAATTGGAGATATCTTAAATCGCTAAAACATCTAGTCATAAAACAATTTGAGATATCTGGAATGTAAGGGCGGTAAAACCGAATTTATGTTAAAACGGCTTGCCACAGATATTAACCCTAACCCTATGTTTGTTTCCCCCAAAGCTTATGGTTTTAGCGTAGCATAGTGTTGAGATGCTAAAGGGGTAGGGTGGAGGGGACTTTTATTGGCTTAGTCCCTCCGACTGGTCTCTAAATTTTGGTGAATGTAAATATTTATAGTCCGAATTACAGTATTCACTTAAGCATCTCACAGAGGCATATTATATACAACCTCCCTTCAACCCCCCTAAAAATATACTTCAGACCCATACCCAAAATATACTAAAATAAAACTGAGAATGGACAATGAGTAGCCTCATGGGCACCGCTTCTTTAATGCCGACAACACTGACCGTGTTACCTCAAAACTCTCTCCTTGCCCTGACTCTGGGTATTGAACCGAACCCAGGAGTCCATCTTGGATGATGGTGTTCCGGGCCTAGGACTACTTGGCTGGCTGTAAACCTACGGAGCAGTTAATGCTACTTGTCCTTTTAGTCCTGACCAGTAATGGCAGGCTTAGAGCCCTCTCTCTTAAGTCTGCACGCTGAAAACACTCCGTTGAAACGTTTTCTGAATTTCCGGTAGTAGACCTTGTTGTTAGATTGTATACTGCCCCCAACAGGCAAAACAACAGGTCTTTCTAAAATGATAGAAAGTGAGCGGGAAAAAATTATAATATCATCAAGTTAAATAAATTGTTGTCAATGTGGAAAAACATCGTCTGGAATTTGGTTCTGTGTGGACCCGAATAGGAGACAACATATAATTGATATGGGAGGTAGGTCTTTAACTATGTGTATCCATATTTAAAAAGAAAGGAGTAACAGAAATATTTACTCTAAGCCAACAGGAGGCGGTGTCGGTTCGTTAATATAGACGGGCTGACACCTTCTCAGGGAACAGCAGTTGTGCACTTCTGACGACGACAATCACAAAATAATCTTTAAGACTTCACCATCACATATTGACACAAAGAGTTTAATTTTATTGGTACAAAAACCTGGAATCACTGTTTTTGTGTCATGTTTGATCAACTGTCTAAATTGGATCAAACATCAATGAGAAATAAAAATGAGGGGGTGAGGAGAAAAAAAATCACAAACATGGCAAAAAAAAACTTTAAATTTAACAACTGAGTTGTCATTTCATCTACAAAAAATTTAATAACTGAAATGACAGTTATTTATGGCTGCTTTTTATTTTTTCAGATTACAAATAAATCAAACATGCCAATTGATGTCAGGGTAGTTCACCAAAACAAAATCCTGCTTGTGAACAGAGATAAACTTAATCCAATCACTGTCAGTAAGAGACATTCCACATTGATCCTATTTATAAAACAACGGGGAGTTATTAAGTTCAGTTTATCATCTAATTTGTGAAAAAGTTTCTATCCAAATAGCCCCAATTGATTGCATCAAGTAACTGACTGAAACAATCAAGTTTTTGCATCAAGTTGTTACCTAAACAGCAATATTTTACTGTGTAGTACAAAAAGTAGCAGGAAAAGGAAATGTGCTCAACAGACTCAACAGACAATACAAGCCTAGAAAAAATACCTATAGAAGTAGCTCGGGATAGCATAAGATATGCTATCCCTACAGTATGCTTTTGTAAAACAAAAAGTTTTATGCTGTAGACAGTATTTGTCTACTTCACAGACAAAAATTGGATCATGCTTCCGTAGGAGGAAAGTCTGACAACTATAAGATCTGCCTCCCATTTTACTTTCAAAACATGGAGCAATCAAATTTCTGAAAAATGACAGAGATTTGTTATTATTGTATTGAAATATAAGGAGAATTATACATTCTGGTCTGGATTTAACAGGGAGACAATGAAGAGAATGAAGAGAAACGAAAATACAAGAAATCTCTCCTTAATTTTCATTATTCAGCTTTCCCTGCTACTGCAGGGAAAGCTGAATAATCTGAAGGGGAAAAATGAAGCAGGGTTTCCCCCGGTGTATTATAAGGCTGATGGGTCACGAGGTTTTACTTGTACCCCACCAGGCTAAGCATTGCTAACCCTAACCCTAAGTCTCTGTTTCAAACAGCCAAAACCTTGCTGTTGCAAGACTAACTTGCAACTTCCAAAGTAAATTTCCATTTATAAGTTCAGCTTATATTTCCTCTATTGATACAATGAAAAATCTTAAATGCCATTATCTGATTAACAAACTATTCTTTGGAATACCCAGGAATGATATGCGATTTCAACTTACAATAAATAGTACACACAAACAGCAACTCTTAGCAAGACAAGCAGCTTATCATTCATTTCTCATGCAGTATGCACTTTTCACAAAGGTACCAAGTTTGAAGTCCCTAAAACTATTCATCAACAAAGAAAGTATAGTCCCCATGAAACCGTCATTTGTATGTGGCCATAGTTAAACTCAATACTGCCATTCAAACCCAGAAAGTGTAGGTCTGAATCTAAAGTTTAGAGCTATCCAAAACAATTAACATTACCATCGTGTATGTCTTTTAATGGAAACAAACACTTTAGTTGAAAACAATTTTTGAAAATTACTAGAATGAGAAACATAAGGGGTTTTAAGTAATTGCTACAGACATTATTTTGTGCTCATTTTAAACACACATTTTTAATTTAAAGACAAAAACAAAGCAATGCAAGATAACATCAAGTTCTTCAGCAAACACATCTAAATATTCCAGAGAGATGGGCCCACTGAATATTTGAACTTCTAGTCCTTCATGCCTCAGTGGGACAAATCATGCGGCACAGTGGGGAACAGGGCTCATGGTTTACTAGGTGAACGAGGGGTGAACACTCCTGATGCTTCAAGCATGGTCTTCCTTCGTGCTGTCTCCTTGGCCACATTGTGATTTAGCCTTCTCAGGCGTTCCTGTAAACAGAGTATTTATTTAGTCTATATTTTGCAACTCCTTGGGCAATTAATCTCTTAACTAAAATGATAAAGGAGAAGATGAATGAGAAAAGAAAGGAAAGCCTGCAGTTAAAGTAGAAAAAATGACAGCATTTAAAAATGACAACATATATGGTAGCTGTAATGATGTTGCTAGTCATGGATACTATGAATGTCATAATGAACTGGCTTGTGAAATTTATTCCTCTGCTGCTTCACCACATTGAGAGGAGGTGGCTTGGACGTCTGGTATGGACGCCTCCCTGGTGAGGTGTTTTTGCATGTCCCACTGTGAGGAGACCCAGAGGAAGACCGAGGACATGTTTTTCAGCTGGCCTGGGAACGCCTCGGGATTCCCCTGAAAAAGCGGCCCAAGTGGCTAGGGAATGGGAAGCCTGAGTCTCCTTGTTTAGACTGCTACTCCCGCAACGTATAAATGGTTGGATGATACAAAAATGTCAAACTTGATATTAAGAAAAATACCTAATGTCATTTTAGATACCATGGTAACATTTTTGAAGGCACAGGGTTGTTTCTAGCTAAGAGCAAACAATTGGAATAATTACCATGTGACTAACCCTAACCTCCTTAAGTGGAGTTCTCCAGTAGTCCTCATTTATAAAAAATATATGATTTAAAAATGTCACTTCCCTGTCTGGCAAAATTGTAGACAAGATGGCACAGTTGAAACCAGATATTTACATACATTGGATAAAAAGACACATGCAGGTCTGAAGCAAAACCAGCCCAAGCTTAGAATTACCTAAATTATTTCTATTTTTTTAAATGCTGGAAAACTTAGTGAGATTTTTTTTGTCACTAGCTTTAGCACGAGTATTAGGGATAACTTTTTAACTGAAACACAAAAGGTCAAACCTTTTGTGTTTCCTTCCACAAACCGTTAATGGCACATTTGAGTTATTCAAATTTTTTAAGGTTACAGCTGGAACACATTGATTCTTGTTTCACAATATTTGAAAGTCAACAGAAATCAGACAAGACATCAGGAAGAGAACTGTGAAGCTGCACATGTATAGTTCATTGTTGGGAACAATTTCCAGATGCTTGAATGTGCCGCATTCATCCAGTCAGACAACTATATTCAAGTATAGGTATGATGGGAATTACACCGCTCAGGAAGGAGATGGGTTCTATGTCCCAGAGATGAATATATTTTGGTCCAAAATTACAACAGAACAACAAACAAAAAGACAAGAGACCTTGTGAAGATGTTAACAAGACAGCGTAATTATCCACGGTAAAATATGTCCTGTACCGTCATGGCCTTTCAGCAAGGAGGAAGCCTTTACTTCAAAAGAAACATAAAATGCCCGAATACAGCTTGCAAATGCAATATACAATATAAATATAAAAATTATCCACCCATTTCTGTCAATTGCATTTATCTACTGTGTTCGCCATTAAATCGTTTAAGATTAAATAAAAACAACAATAGCTGTTGATGTGTGTGAGAGCATTATCAGCAAGTTAATCCTTGTGCGTGCGAGGACTATGGCAAATGATACAAGTTTTACATGTGTAGGGTCGGTTTGACCCCATTTCTACATACAAGGGTTAAGTAGTAAAAAAACGACTTAAGTCTCTCACTGACTGAGATTTGAGTCCTGCCGTTCATGGCATAGAGCCTATCTGTGCTACCTTGTTAGATTTTACTACTGTAGATAGCTATGTCCCCCAGTAGGTGCTACGCATTACCACAAGGGATAGGGAGCACAGATAGTCAGAACACTGGTACAGATTGAGTAAAGTGTTGGAGATGTTAATGAGCCATGTGCTTACTTCAAACTTGAAACTTATTGTTCAAAGCCAAAGTAAAACCGTGTAAATACCCAATAACGCTTGGTATAATAATCAACTCTAAGCTATCTTTCTGCAACTATTGAAACAGTGCAGGTAGACAGGCAAGAGCCAGTGTTATGCCAGATGTTGGTTTTCCAAAAAATAAAATTTGGCTGCTTTGGCTAGTATAAATGTGCAAACCATATCAATCTATCAATCAATCATATCTTTATTCCAGACACAAAAAGGTCCATGGTAAAAAAGGTAAAAAACAAACAAAATAAGAGAAAAATAAAAAATAAACATGACATATTATTCACCGAGTCACAAGTAAATGATGATGCCAATGATTCCATAATCTTGAAGAAAATCTCACTGTATTAAAAGCAGGATTTACTAAAATTGCAATTATATTATTGCATGACATAGATGCAATACATAAGATTCCTGAGCACAACTGCACATGTGGGAACAGCATTATGTACAAACATATGGCTAGCACTACTCGATCTAGGCACTTTGAGTAGTAGCCTCATGACATCACTGTATGCACAAAATGGAGTTCTTTAAATTAAAAGAAAAAAAAGTTTTGGCTCCATAAAAACTATGCTTGCTCACTGCATGCATGTAAGAGTTACTGAGTTCCACATGTCTTTTGGTGATCTAGGAAAAAAATGATAAGTTTTACTAATTATTGTTAAATCTCTGTTAATCTTCAGTATGGAAGAGGTTTAGTCAAGAAACAGAAGGTCCAAAATCAAGGTCAGGCACTAACCTGAGCGTTCTGTAGAATATTGTTCACAAGCACCACTCTACGCCTCGCATTAAGTAGCTTCTTTACGTAAGGATCCAGGTCTAGTGCAATCTTCTGGTGTTCATTTATTCTGAATAACTCTGTGAAACACATACAAAAAATATATATAATCATTACATAATCTTTGTCTATTTGTCAATATTAAGTATTTTGTTTTTGTTCGTAAAACAATAGTACAGTTTTGTGTTATTTTACAATTAAAGATTACCCGTCGCCAAGTTGTCTATATGCTCTCTTAATTCCACCTGGCTTTCTCTGCAAAAGACATTTGTGAGAACAGTCAATAAACAGGAAATTAAATCGTTTATATATATATATATATATATAGACATAGATTGTTTTGTCATTCAACTGTACATTTAAAAATGTACAAATTGAAAGAAGCTGCTGAACCTTTTCCTAGAGGGCAGCGGGGAGAACAAACTATGCTCAGAGTGGAAGAGGTCTTTTATAATTGCCCGAGCCCTGGACAGGCAGCGACTGTGAGCTGTGTCAAGGATAGAAGGAAGCCAATGATTTTCTCAGCTGTCCTCACCACTCTCTCCACACATTGCCAGTGTTACATGATCCAAACCAGACAGAGACGCTGTTGGTCAGTATGCTCTCTATTGTCCCTTTGTAGAAAGTGGTGAGGATGGGAGGGGGGAGGTTAGCTCTTCTCATCTGACGTAAAAACTGCAGGCGTTGCTGAGCTTTCTTCGCCAGACCAGAGATTTGGAGGGACCACGCCAAAGTGTCAGTAATCTGTATCCCCAGAAATTGAATGTTCCTGACCTGTTCCACTGCAGCATCATTGATAAGGAGGGGTGTGTGACTTGGCTGATTTTTCCTCTAAACAACAATTTCTTTTGTTTTGCTGACATTCAGGATTAGATAGTTTGTATCACACTAGTCCACCAGATTTTTCACCTTCTCTCTGTCGGCCAGTTTGTTGTCGTCCCTGATGAGCCCTGCCACAGTCATATTGTCCGCATACTTAATGACGTGGTTCGTACTGAACCTGGCTTGGCAGTCATGGGTCATCGAGGTGAAGAGCAGTGGACTCAGTACGCAGCCTTGGGGGAAGCCAGTGATGAGGGAGAAGCTTTATTACCGACCCTGACAGTTTGTCAGAAAATCTAGCAACCAATTGCACAGGGGGTTGTTCAGCCCAAGGCTCACTGGGTGCTGGTGATTGTGTTGAATGCTGAGCTGAAGTCCAGAAACAGCATTCGCACATGAGTATTCTTCTCCTCCAAGTGTTTCAGGCTCAGGGGCAGTGTGGTGGAAACAGCATCCTCTGTGCAGCGGTTGAAGCTGTATGCAAACTGGAGCGGATCAAAAGAGGAGGGAAGTTTTGAGATGATGTGATCCTTCACCAGCCTCTCGAAATACTTAATCATGATGGGAGTGAGTGCATCAGGGCGATAGTCATTCAGTGATGAAATTGTGGGTTTTTGGGCACTGGAATGATGATGGCCGTCTTGAAGTAGGATGGAATGACAGTACAGCTCAGCGAGGTGTTAAATATGTCAGCACTGTTCTTGAGAACCAGTCCTGGTATGTTATCAGGCCCTGCTGCTTTATGTATTTTGACTCTTCTCAAGGTCCTCAAAACATCAGCTGTCTCAAACAGAGTAATCTGTTCAACTAGTTGAGGAGTGCATTTTCTCACAGGAGTGTTGTTGAGGGCTTCAACAACACTCACAAAATCCTCACAGATTTTGTGAGGACAAAATCTGTTCTGTCCTCACAGGACAAAGAAGCAGCCTTGTCTGTTATAGTCTTGGTGCCTTGCCATATGTGCCTGGTATTTGCTGATTCGTGGGAAAATTGTCAAATTTTCTGACCATAGGCACGTTTTGCAACTCTGATGATGTGGTTTAGGTTTGCTCTGGCTGACCTGAGCATCTCTCTGTCCCCACATTTAAAAGCAGTGTTTCGTGTCTTCATGAGCTGACGCACCTCCTTTGTCATCCAGGGTTTCTGATTTGCCCTGGTGGTGATGATCTTGGTCACAGAGACATAATCCATGCACTTCAGGATGTTCGTAGACACAGATTCGGCATACTCCTCAACATTGGTGTGACTGTTTACAGTTGCAGTTTCCCTGGACATATATGCATTCAAAACAGTATTGTAATGCCGACATGGATCCTGCAGGCCAGACTCACCTGCTTGTCAATCGGTTTTCCTCTGATGAGCAGGGCCTTATATGCAGGAACTAATATTACAGAAAGATGGTCTGATGAGCCAAAGTGGGGGCGGGGTGCTACCTTGAATGCTGCCTTAAGATTTGTGTAGGCTCTATCCAGTATGTTTGAGCCTCTGGTTGCAAAGTTCACATGCTGATGGAAATGGGGGAGAACTGTCGGTAACACTTTATTTGAAGGGGTGTGCATAAGACTGACATTGCACTGTCATAAACATGACATAACACCTGTCATGAACATAAAGAAGTCTTTATGAATGTTTATGACAGTTGTCATGAAGTGTCATTCGGTAAATAATGACACTTTTAATGCAAAGTTACTCTAAAAGTTACATTGAAAGTCCATTAAAAATGCCAACTTTGCATTAAAATATCATAATTTACTAAATCATGCAAAGCTGGCACTTTTAATGGACTTTTAATGCAACTTTTAGAGCAACTTTCCATTAAAAGTGTCATTATTTACCGAATGGCACTTCATGATAACTGTCATAAACATTCATAAAGACTTCTTTATGTTCATGACAGGTGTTATGTCATGTTTATGACAGTTATCATGAAGTGCCATTCGGTAAATAATGACACTTTTAATGCAAAGTTGCTCTAAAAGTTGCATTAAAAGTCCATTTAAAGTGCCAACTTTGCATGATTTTTTATTTATAATTTAATGCAAA